TTTTGTCTTGTTTAGTTATATTTTTTTCAGCTGAGAAATTCCGAAATTTGCGGTGTTTGAGAAGCCTTATACAAACAAATGTTATTAAATACAACAAATACAGATACACTTTGATCTTTAACTCACTTGCTCACTCCGGACTCGGCCGCCGTCGTGAGTAGGTTACTGTATCGTTTGCTTACAGCGGCTTGTGATGAAAAATACCGTTTGCTGTAGAAATAAAAAATATTCCAAATTTTGTGTTTAAAATATTTTGTACTTCTACAGCGATATTTTTCATCGCCAGCCGCTGTAAACAAACCATAAAGTTACTGACTCTCGACTCTCTCTCGTTATTTCTGAAAACTTGTGTGTATTTAAAATACTTTAAAAAAGTGACGTATAATATGAGCGCTTAAGGCATTCATATTTAACAAAAGTTTTTTCTAGGTATTCTATTTTATTGCAAGGTGGATCAGTGTTCAATATATAGGCCAGTTTCAGGTCTATAGATCCTGCTACCTGTTTACCTGTTAATATTATTTTAAATAATTTGTCAAGAAATCTCTAAATGACTTGTATGGGCCAGTGTATGCAGGATGGAAGGTGTGTCTTAAGGTGTCTTCCCTAAGGATAAATATGACTAGAATTACCGACATCCTTGTACACAAATATTTTTTGTTTATTACGCCGTGAGGTAGCACGAGATTGTAATTTTTCATAAATGAAAAGAATTTTTAGAAGTGAAGTCAAGAATTCGTGTGGGAGTCTTAAACGATCGCCGTAGACGAGTTCTGCTGAGGAACACTGTAGATCAGCCTCGAATGCGCTTCGAATACCAAACAGCACTAGTAGTAATAATTCCGTCCAGTTGCTGTCAGAGTGACATGTAACAGCAGTCCTTAGTTGTCAGTGGAACCTCTCCATTAGGTGACTTAGAAGCTGGATGATAAACTGTGGTATTGCGGTGTTTGAATCCAATTATTTTTGACAGATATTTAAAAATAAACGAACTTGAACTTTCGGCCGCGATCCATCTCTATGTTGGTCGGACAATCAAATCTATTTTATTATAATAAAAAGTAGCCTTAGGTATATATTAAAATTAAATATTTAATATAATCACCTATGAAAGTTAAAAATAAAGATGAAAATTATTGAATAACAGGCCAACAGCAAAGTTTCATCAATCTAAGTTATAAAAAGATAAACAAATACGAAATAAAAATAGTAAAACTAATGGGATTTGTAATTAAAAATAACCTACGTTATTAATAACTTCATTGACGACACCCTTCCTATTCTACAATGATATTCATTTAAAATGGTATAAATGATGGCGTTGCATTTCGGCTTACTGTAGTAGTGGAAGGCAGACTTCGTACGTTTTGTGAGGGCAGTTTACCTATATAAATTTTACAAGGAAAAATTTGGACCCGCGAAAATTATTTGTAGGTCATACAAAAACTTGTTCCGTGCTAGATTTGAACCCGCTGCCCTTAGAGCTGCAACTTAAAAGTGCAACTGCAAGCCGCTAAGCCAGGTAGCTGTAAACTAATAGTGAAGTAACGGATTTTTAAGCTAAACAGCCAATGATTAAAAAAGGTTCCCGAGTGGCAGTCTCGTCCCGGAAAGCGAAGTAAGTGTAGGACGGCCGCCCACTAGATGGAGTGATGACTTGGTAAGATATGCAAGAAGTCAATGGGTACCGGTGGCTCAGGACCACGCCCTGTGACATTGCTTAGAGGAGGCCTATATTCAGCAGTGAACTTGTGGAGGGCTGTAATATTTATGACTTCAATATAATTTTTTTATACTTTATTTCTGTAAAAAATGAAGTTTTAACCTAATAGCAGCGGTTTGGCTTAATAGCAGCAAGTCTGAATTTATGTCAGTGATCAATGTTATATACATTTTAGTATACATAGCAACGATATATCACGAGAAAACAATGATGTAGAGGTGCAGATGTAAAAGTATTTATGTAATCTTAGACTGTAAATGTGTGAAGCACCCCAGGTCTTATAATTTTGTTCTACGCGAAATACTCGCATACAAATACACCAAAGTCTTACAATCAGTGTCAGTATAGTGGTGACAATAATTAATTTTGATTAGCGAGTAATGGTGCAAGAATATCCAACTATTATCGCCCAGTAAATGTAGCAAGATGCGACAGAAAGAAACACCAGGATATGAGCAGTAGCATCTTTCTAATAACAACTAGATTAAATAACTGCGGTTGTGAACCCGCATGCCAAGCGTAGCAAGTGTGTCAAGTATCCCCCATATAAGGAACTCTATGTTCAGCTGTGGACTTTGGCAGACCGTAATGAATGAAGGAATTTTAAAAGGAACTTTATGCATTTCCATTGTAACATAAAGTCCATATTTTTCATCTGCACCACTACACTCGGTTTCTGTGGAGGTAAATGTTTAAACAAAAAACAACCGGTAAAACTAATTTTACGGATTTTATCGCGTTTTATTTTAACATTTTTGAATTCACGATATATCGGACACTTTCCAACGCCCATAGTCATATATATTTGACAACCATTGAGATAGTTAACGAAGGCTAACCAACTATTAAATATTAACTTTTGGTCCTTTCTGCGAAGATCTGGCCAAAAATTAATATTTAAATATTAAACGCAATAAAATCCGTAAAATTAGTTTTATTCTTTGTATAAATATTGCCTAAATATGAGAAATCATTATATCAACTCTTAGTAGTTAAATTTAAGAAATAATGCTTAAATTATTACATTTCACCGTTAAAATAGTAGCTGAGTAGGACGATAATAATTAATCACGTGCTAGAAAGCCTTTACCTTACAGAGCACATTCACAATTCCTACAGACGCTTTTAATGAGTGCGATAATGAAGCTATTCATATTTCTACCTTATTAATTAACTTTAATCTCAAAGATGTTACTTTAACATAAGCAAAAATGTAGTCTAGAAATTACGCATGAGGTAATAAATTTTTGTTTGTTTTTTATAAAACTAAAGTTGCAAGAACTCACCTGTATAAGACTTACTTTTTCATAGAACAAGGGCAGCAAACGAGTACACAGTCCATCTGATACTAAGTGGATGCCGCAGCCCATAGAGAAGTGATGACTCATCATTTTTATATGAGGTTGAGGGAGCACCTCATTTTACCTCGCGAGGTCCTCACGAGGGACCCCTCATTTGAGGCGAGGTATCGTAAGTCAGCGTATTCAATTCACCTCACGGGCCGAGCCCGAGCTCGAGCCGAACTCAGCCGATTGTCCGAGGCAGCGGCAAGCGGGGCGGACGGGCGCGTCGACTCACGAGTACTCACGATTCCGATTTTTACGTCTCCCTCACACACGTAATTTTCTTTCGCTCATAAATTTTAGACCGCCAAAATAAACGAATCAATGACACTTGAATAACAATCTAATGCATATCTTTTTAGAGTTCATAGTTAATAGAGGTTCATATTAATAGCAGAAATAAAAATGTTTTCTCTATTAATTCGTTTTGAGTACCTAATAATGTTACTTTACCTCTGTTGACCTTGGTGGTGCACGTGTGATGAAGTAATTGTTGATATTGTTGTGATTGTGACAAATACGTAGACTTTTGTGTTAGCGAAAAATTGGATTGTTTTGCTTGTGTTCGTACTTATTTGCTTGTTTTGGTTTTGGTGGTGGTGTAGTGAAGATAGATTGCTGCTGGTGTGGGTTTTACCTTTACCTTTCCTACATATTTGGCAGGATTATGGCTCCAAGGGTAAAAAAAATCGAAAACCTGGGAATTTTCAAGGATTTTGGAGAATATAAGGCCAAATGTACAATTTGTATGAAAATTTTGTCGCACAGGGGTGCAGGCCCTTACAATTTAACAAGACATTTAAAATCAGCTCATCCCCTTGTCCTGGCTGGGATTCAGGAAAATCGTGCTAATACTAATGATAATAATCGTAATTATACTAGTGTTGCTCCACCTCTTTCACCTGCGATTCCATCTACGTCTGAAGGTGAGTCGTCTTCCGCCTGCCATGATGGTTCCACTCAATATGTACCAGCTAATCCCGTTCCGAATCGTCGTTCTCTAGATTTTAACCAAAATAATAATATCAATCAATATTTTGCAAAACCGCTGTCATTAAAGAAAACGGAAACTATTAATATGTTGCTCCTTCAAATGAAAAATTATTTGCCTTTCACAATCGTCGAAAGTGATTCATTTAGAGCATTTATAAAAGAATTGTTTCCTTCTACCACAAGTATCTTTATACTTAAAAGAAGTCCTCAAACTCGTACTAATTTTAAGAAAATGTTGGAAACAATAAACTTTCAAACAATAAACTTTCAAACTTTCGTATGTTGCTCCCTCAAGAAAGACGCTTTCAAAAGCGTTATTACTAAAATATTACAACATCGTAAGAGAAGATGTGACAAAATTACAAGAACAAGCGGAATATGTTGCCTTAACCACGGATGCCTGGACTTCTGCTTCTCATCATCAGTATGTTGCTGTAACAGCACATTTTGTTGAAAACAGCAAAATTATGGCGGTAATGTTAGAATGCATTCCAGAAGCACAACGCCATACCGCACAGAACTTAGCTGACTTAATCAAAAAAATTTGTACTGAATGAATGTTAATGAAAAAGTAGTGTCAGTTACTGCTGACAATGCTAATAACATCCAAGCTGCCATTTCTTTATTAAAATGGAAGCAACTACCGTGTTTTTAAAGTTAAAACCATTGTGGAACTTTTCCAAAGAAGTATTTTGGCTAGTGAGTGCTTAACAGCCATGCAAAAGCAGCTAGGGGAGAAACAGCTAAAAGTAAAACAAGACGTCATAACATGGTGGAACTCTACGTTCGATATGTTCGAGAGGATTTTAGAGATAAAAAGAAGTGTGATTTCCACCATTGCAACCGATTATTCCAACACGCCAAATTTGACCCCCGACAACATACAAATTTTATCGAAATGTTGTGATTTGTTACGACACTTTAAATCAGTAACTGAAATTATGAGTGCAGAAAAGCATGTAACTGTATCGCAAATAATAGTTTTAGCGAATTTGCTCAAAAAAAGTGCGAGGCCTCAAGACATTACCCAAACACTAATGGAACTGGCGAAACGGTTCGTTAGTGACATATCAGTACGGTTTAGAAATGTAGAGGATAACAAATTATTTGCCGTAAGTACGCTTCTAGACCCACGATTTAAGGCATATGGTTTTCCTGATGACAAAAAAAGTAGTGTTGATAACGCAAAAAATATTTATCTAATATAGCGGCCAAATCTATTGCATCGATTAATGAAACTGAATCAGATATTAGTGAAAATATTTCACAAAGCGATACAAACATACAAAAACCTTCTATATGGGATGAATTCGATCTTAAAGTTGTAGATACAGTTAAAAAGCAAAACCCGACCGCAGCTGCAATCATAGAAGTAGATAAATATTTCGATGAGCTTCTTATTAGCAGGAAATCCCACGACCCTATATTATGGTGGTACACGAAAAGGCACACATATCCACGCCTATATGATGTAGTCAAAAAACACTTTTGTACTCCAGCTACTTCAACTCCTTCCGAAAGTTTTTTTCGAAAGCAGGACATGTTGTTAATGACAGGCGCAACCGATTGGATGGTAAAAAAGTGCGCCTGATTTTATTTTTACACGGAAATATGTGATTGTTTACTCCAAACGATTGTTTTTTTTACTTTTTATCCTTTGATCTCAATTAATACACTCAGTTTTTTATATTTGCTTCCTGTGTTTTATTTACCCTGCAACTCATTTCACACATATTTTTGTATCTCTTCTTAATTTCAATAATATGCTATCAAACATCAGTATCACACACACACACACACACACACACACACACACACACACACACACACACACACACACACACACACACACACACACACCAAACATCATTATTTCATTAAGTACATAACACAATCCTAATTGAATAAAACTAAATTTTACGGATTTTATCGCGTTTATTTAACTGATTTTACTTATTTTTAATTCCCGACGTTTCGGGTGCTTTACAGCACCCATGGTCACGGGGGGGGGGGCTGAGATGTTTGACGTCCCAATGTCATAGTTAGCCCGGCTTCAGTTTTTTAATATTAATTTTTCGGTCCGATTTACACAAAACGAGCTTACAGTATCTTGAAGTCTTGCAGTGGTATGCTTGGGTTTGGGTTTAATTTTGTTAATTTTAGGATCCCAAGCAGATGGCAGCACTCATCCATCTTCTCTATTGAAATTAGGATGTTTATTAATTTCAATAGCCTCACGTATCACCCTTGGTAGGAATCGGTGTTCTTTTGCGAGGACTTGTGGTTTATCAAATCTGATGTAATGGTGGGGACGATCTTGAACATGTTCACAGACTGCAGACTTCCCGGAGCGTCGTCAATCCTAATGTTTACTGTTTTCAAAATTTCGATTACTCACCTCACTCATTCTCTAATTTATTCTGTACTGTAAATATGGATTTCTAAGTCGGTTCATTCCCTCACTAAGCTCACTCAATCACTCACTCGCGATGCTCGCGAGTCGCGAGTACTCGCGTCAATAATGTCTATATCAATTTTTAAGTGAGGACGCGTGAACGAGTGAGGTGGTTCAATGTTGAAAATCGAGTAACTCTTTCAATTTGCGATCACGAGTACCTCAAACGAGGCACCTCATGAGTGAGGTGCACATCCCTGTTAGAGATCTACATAAAGACTCAAAATTCAGATGCATTGTCACCCCTGACGACTAAAATGTAATGCTCTATACCTAAAATACGCCGCTTTATTAGAAGCTAATATAAACATGTTTAAGATCGTCCCCACCATTACATCAGATTTGATAACTGTATTTGAAAACTGATTTGAATACCGACTCCTATTAAGGACGATACGCGAGGCTATTGAAATTAAAAAAAAAACATCCTTATTTAAATAAAGAAGATTAATGGGTGCTGCTATCTGGAATCCTATAATTAAAAAATCCAAACCCAAGCATACCTCTCCAAGACTTCAAGATACCTTAAGATCGTTCTTCGTAGACCAAAAATTAGTATAGAAAAAATCTGAAAGTAGGACTAACTATGCATTGGGACGTCAACCATCTCACTCTCCTCAGTGACCATGGGTGCTGTTAAACATCCGAAATTTCGGAAATTAAAAATAAGTTAAATAAACGCCATAAAATCCGTATAATCAGTTTTACCCAATGTGTAGTTTTCGCGTAAATATAAGAAATAATTAGACGTAGACTATCTATGGGCCACAGCAATCACCTACCATCAGGTGGATCATGCATAAGGTCGGTGTTTCCTCTATTGAGTTGAGTATGGATTAAAATCTGTAGGAGCAAGCTCAGACCGCCTGGGCTGTTAAGCTTCTAATTAAAGATTAAAGGGCATTAAACACAGAAGTGCATTACGAGACGCTCCAGGCGATGATCGCATCGCTCCAGTTGCTATTAAACAGTCAGTCCTTTGAGACTATTTAGCCATTCGCATTTGTCTTTTTGTTGGCTTTATTATACCAAACAATGGTGGCGTAGGTAAAAATCAGTCTGAACATGCTGCTGTACAGTCATATCAGCTCCAGAACTGTGGTAGTCCAGATGGTTAACGCTCGCTGTGAATATATCAGAACGCGAGGAACCCGGGTTCGATCCCCGCCGGCACCAATGAAATTGTTAATTGCAATTTTAAGTGCTGATTTACCACGTGCTGGGCGGTAAAGGAAAACATCATGAGGAAACCTGCATGTCTGGGGAATAAGAAAAAAAAATATATTTCGAAGACATGTGAAGTTCGCCAACACGCATTGGGGCAGCGCGGCGGACACTTCCTTGCTCTTAAACCATCTCAGAAATGAGGGGAGGCCTAAGACCAGCAGTGGGACGTATATAGGTTGTAACTTTACTTTTTAATTTTATAGACATATCATCATACTAAGACGCAAGTCCCTGTAGTTCTCAACAATACTTATTAAAATATTGTAAGTAGTACTTGTGGCATTGTTCTCACTTGCATAACTTACGAGTGCGTAGTACGGCATGTATTTCACACCGGCATATCGTTCGCACCGACGTCCCTTGCCTTACGCATACAGCATGCATTACCCAACGGCATTGAGGACGCACCAGCAATCGGACTACGCTATCAACCTCCAGTCTGAGTAGAGGGGTGATGTGACGGCGCTGTTGTCACGCTACAAGGCGGGAGTTCTCTCCTTTCCCTCCCTGGCTAAAGATGCATTCCATAGCATTATTTAGGTGTGAAAACGCATCTGCATTGTAATTATTAATCGAGGATAGATGTAGATAGTTCTATATCATTAGATGTAGATGTCTATGGGCCACAGCAACCACTTAGCATCAAGTGGACTGTGCGCTCATTTCTCACCCTTGTTCTGTAAAAAAATAAATGCCTACAAAACATTGGTTGACTCTGCAGGCCATCCGTGGAACTTCCCCGCTTATTTCAAATGCAAATTGCTCCCAATTTTACCAAATTATAACGTTGAATATGAAACATGGGAAAAATTTAACAAAATCAATTTTTTCAAAATGTTTCGTTAACGATATCTCAAGAACAAATCAACCGATTTTGAACGAACCGGCGGTGATCGACAAGATTTTTCAAGGTTGTTTAGTTTTTGGAATCGATCGATAAAGCCGTATAAAAGTTATTGCAAAAAAAGAAGAAATACCGCATCACTGCTATTTGACACTTCAATGTGGTTTTTCCCTTCTTTCACATTTATACACTTGTATTAATTTCTGATTTCTGATTGACACCGCTGTGTTAGAGAAAGCTAATGCTTTCGATTGCTCATTTTTTCACCTCCGCATTTCAGTCTTGGGGGGATCCGTTACGTAGATGCAGATCGCAGATCGAGACGCAGACGCAAATCAGAAGCGTTCCCGTGGCCCTGATAACACGCGGCGAAGGTGGAAAACCATGGGGTCTAGTGGGTGAGAGTCCTACATAACCAGTCGCTGCCTCCGAGAGGCAGCGACAGGTTATGGATATGGACAACATGTATTTTTATCATATGGGTATGCTTGTGAGTTAGTGAGTGACAGCGATACTCTAAGGTAAGGGATGAATACTATTGAGCGTACGTAATAAATATTTACAAATACTTAAAACAAAAAATTATTCAGAAATATCTTTAATATTTTATTTTTCTTCTTTATAAATTTTTAAGTGGTCAAACGTATCTGAATATAGAATTTTTCAAACCATTAAAAATTCATAACTCCGAAAATGATAACTTTATCGTGAAAATCATAAGGCCTTTTTATTTTATCAAGGTATATAAAAAAATTAAAACCGTTTGAAAATAACAATGCCTTGCAATTTTTTAAGCAATTTCAGTTTAAAAAATAAGGCACCGAGTTGCCCTATGAAAACATGCATTTTTATCATAAGTAAGAAAATTTGTAGAGAGTCGCATAAAAAATTGCAGTAGCTTAGCAATGAGTTAACGCATGAGTTGCATTTGTATGGCCTACAAGTAATTATTCCGGGTCTGGAAGTTTGTTCTTGTGAAATTTATATTTGTAAATTGCCCCCACGATACAGGAGAAAATCCTAGTGTAGTGGTAACGTCTTTAAAAAAAAAAAACAGAAGAAAAAAGAAGTAAAAGATAAAAATATTGCCCTGATTACTCACTTCGTTTATAACATAAAAATTAATACGTGAACAGAAATCCTCGTACCCCTTTTAAAGCATATTGCGCGCACGGCATAATGTGAGGTTTGGGACAAAGTTCATAATATGCAGAGGGAGTGTAGAAATCTGAAATATAAATATTTGTTACAAATAAATTAATAAGTTTAAATTCATACTGCCAATATCAATTGACAAACACAGTATATGGTCAAACCATTAAATTGTAAAATGTTGCCTACAAAATAATTATTGTCAGATCCACTCTGTTTCCTAAATTTGTTACAATACATTGTGGTAAGCAAATCAAGAATAAATGAGTTAGTGGAAGTGGAGCCAGCGAGCGGTTATTGCATTACCTCCAGACCGGATATTTCTCAAGGGAATAGAGGGAAAAATAACTAGCGGCAATTTCAGAGAAAATAATAAAACTAATTTTACGGATTTTTTAACTTTATCTTTACATTTACTGCATTCAATTAAACAAACATTTTAAAATTCACAGTTCATTAGTTGTGAATTTTGAAATTGATTTTGAAATTTTGAAACTTGAACACATCGTTCAAGTTTTTTTACTTTCCCGATTTGCTTCAAGTGGATTAATACAGTTTTATCACTTAACCCGAAGTCTGCAGCTATCTCTGAAGTGCTTTGTGATGGATCCGATTCTACAATAGCCTTTAATTCTTCATTTTCCACTTTGAGCTCCGGCCGTCCACGGGGTTGGTTCTGAAGGTCGAAATTTCCAAAACGAAAACGTGGAAACCAAAAACGTGCCGTGCTTTCTTTTGCGACACCAGTGCCCTATATATCGTAAATCCTTCGAGCTGTTTCTGCAGCACCAGTGCAACGGTAGAACTCGTACTCGTAAATATACCATATTTCATGTTTTCAATTGTGTGGTAATAAGCGACGTCAAAGAAAAAAATAATGAGGAAAAAACAAATGAATGCCTGTTTTCAAAAC